GTCTTGGAGGTGCCTTTCGAGTCGCCTCAGGGCATCCGACGAGGGCCAAGGCCAAATTGCTGCCATTTTGGACCGTCTTGGGCGTGCCTTGGGCCTTCCGCCGGCCGCCTTGGGGTCAATTTGGGGCGGTCATGGGGCCGCTTGTGGGCAGTTTAGAAGCCGTCTTGGGCCCCCGTACGGCTTCTCTGGAGTCGGGAAAGGTTTTCGGTGCTTCGTCTGCGTTCTCGGACGCCTGGCAAGCCGAATGAGGACATAGTCGAAAAGCATATAACAACCACAGAAAAATTAAGATGTTCAAGGTTTCGAGCGCCTCTTGGATGTGGCATTCGAAGCGCCTTCGAGCATCCAGCAATGGCCTGAACCGCATGATGTCATCTTGGACCGTTGGTGGCGTCTCTAAGGCCTTGCGTCAGCCGTCGTGGGGTCAATTTTGGGCGGTCACGGGGACTCTTGTGGGCAATTTGGGGACCGCTTCGGGCGTTCATGGGGCTCACTTGGGCCGTCTAGGAGCGGTTGTCACGGCGCTCCCAACGTTCTCGGACGCGTGGAAGGCCGAATTAGCTAGTATCCGGAAATCATACAACATCCCATGAAACATATATGTGTTTGGGGGTTCGAACGCCTCTTTGGGGTGACATTGGGGTTATCTTCGGGTATCCAGGTTAGCTGGATGCCATCCTGGACCGTCTTGGGTGGCTCTTGGGCCGTTCGCCGATCGATTCGGGACTGCCACCCGCCTGCGTGCACGCCTTGGCAAGGATTTCCGACCTCCCCCCGTGCCACGGATTCGGGGGGTCCCGTTTCGGGGGAGGGGGGGTCACCCCCCCCCCAGATTATAAAAACATAGGAAGGGGTGTATATATATATATATATAGATATAGATATGTCACGTGTCATCAGACGGACCGCGTGGCGGACTCCGCCCTCCAGTGTCCCGACGCGCCACCCCTTGCGAAGCGGGATCACCGCCGATGCGACGCCGCTTTCACGCGCGAGACCCCCCGCCCGCGCGCGCGTGCACGGACGCGCAGCGAGGCGCCACCCTCCCCCACCACTCGCGGAGCGAGACCCCGCCAAGCAGCTGCGGAGAGAGACCTCCGCGGCTGCGGCGCGGAAAGCCTGGCACATCTGAAGGGGGTCGCGGGGGGGTGGGAGGCGATTGGGGAGGCTCCATCTCTGGCGCAAGCGAAGCAAAAGTTGGGGGAGCTGGGGCACCGCCGGCAAACGCGCGTGCTGGACCATCCCCGCTCACCACGGTCCTGCACGCTGAGGGGGTGGTGAGGTGTGCGTGCGGGCGTTCTCTCGTTACTCCATTCTGCCTCCTCACCCGCCTCCCCTTTCCCCTCCCCCTCCTCCTGCGGATTTCCCCACCCAATGCCCATTCCCCCTCTTTACTTTTCTGGACCTTCGTCTCCTCCTTCCCTCTGCTCAATCCGCCCTCGGGCTCCTGCCTTCCCCTGCTCTCCTTCCCATCCCCTCCGCACCCCCCCTCCTCCCCCCTGCACGCCCGACCACGACGCCCAGGGCACGCCCGCAGAGGGGGGGGGGAAGTCCAGGGCCGCTGAACTGCACGCTGAAGGCGCGCTGGCGCGCGGCGTGGCTTGGCGCGGCGAACGCGGCTGGCCCATGCCGGCCGTCGGCCTCTTGCTGTTCAGGCTCGCCCTGATGTTAGCACTTTTTCTTGGCGGGCGTGCGCGAAACTGCTTGCGCGCCCCTGCCCCGCCGATCCACCATTTTCGCGGAAGACTGGAGTGCGTACCCCATACTCCTCCCGAGACCCATCCCGATCAGTCTTTCGACACGCGTCGACCAGCTGTGGCGACGAGAACCCCCAGAGACGGCCAGAGCTCTGCTACGCTGAAGTCGGGCCTGCCCCCCTACAGGCCGACATCTTGGACGACAAATTGAGAATAGTCAGAAAATACACAAAAAATCAAACATTGAAAAACAAAACAAAACAAAAAAAACAAAAACAAAAACGTCCCCAGACTATTTTCTAAATCATTTTTGGAGACTCCTCCTGCCGAGGGACGGGCCCGACGAAATGCTCCGCGCAGGGGGCGGCCCTGCGGCAGGCGCGCCTCCCGGCGCGCGGCGTGCCGGCGGCCGAAAAAGCGCTGCCACGGCGGCGGCCGTGGGCGCCCGGAGCGCTCCCGGCCCGCCGCAGCTGCCGGGGAGAACGCCCCGATCGGCGGGCGGGGCCTCCCGGGGGGGGCCTCCGGGAGCGGCCGGGCGAGCAAAACTGCTCAGAGGCCCGGGGGCCTCCAGGAACGGCCAGGACGGCAGGGGGCCTCCAGGCACAGCCTCGAAGGGAGACCCTCGCGCGCGCGCGGGACGTCGAGCGCGCAGGTCGAGAGATCCTTCGTGGAGCCCCCCCCCCCCGCGACGAGGGCCGCCCGAGGCCGGCGCATGCCGCCCCCCGCGGGGGGCGCGCGCCCGCCGCGGCGCGGTGCGGGGGCGGCCGCGGCCCGCGCGGGAGCGGGGTGCCGCGCGGCGGCCGTGCCCTGCGCGCGCCCGCGCCGGGCCTCCCTCCACGCAGCCGCCCGGCCGCGCGCGCGCGGCGGCGGGGGGGAAGGCGCTGCGGGGGCAGGGAGGGCGGCGGCCAGTGGGAGGAGGCCGATCCTGCCTTGAGTCTCGCCCTCGCCTGGCCCGCATGCCGCGGGGGGGAGGGGAGGTGTGGGGGGGGGAGGTCGAGGAGGAAGAGGCGGGGGAGGGGAAGGGGGGAGGGAGGAAGAGGAACAGAAATCTGAGGAGGAAGAGGAGGAGAGGGGAGCAGGATTGGCAGGAGGGAGGAGGAAAGGAATGGAATAGGAGGAGGAGGAGGAGGAGGAGGAGGAGAAGGAGGAGGAGGAGGAGGAGGAGGAGGTGGAGGAGGAGGAGGAGGAGTAGGAGGAGGAGGAGGTGGAGAGAGGTGGAAGGAGGGAGGACGGAGGGAGGTGGGAGCATGAGACGGAGGATGGAGGAGGAGGAGGACCGAGGGCGCTGCGGAGGAGAAAGTAGCGACAAGCGGCTGGGCAAGGCTGGACATGAGCAGCTGCAGGGACGATAGGGGGAAATGGAAGGCAAAGGGAAAACGGGGGGACGATGGAGGGGAGCAAGGAGAACATGAGGTTGGGGATGAAGACGGGGGAAGAGCGGCATTGTCGCCCTCCCCTCCCTCATCGATGCCTCCTGATCCCCCTCCTGCCTCCTGCCCCCTCCCTGCCTCACCCCCCCCTCCCTGCCTCCTCCATCCACCCCTCGTTCTGTTTAGACCTCGAGGGTCAGAAGACCCTTGGTCGTGATTCGAGTGTGCTGGATGCTGCAGAGTAGCGGCTTCTTTGCTGCCTAACAATGGCAGTGACTGTAGGCTCCCTGAGGGTCTGCGGATCCGACGTCTGGATCCCCGGGTGTGCACGATACGCCGAGGTTCGAGAAGAGTCCAGGTTTCAATTCGCCTTCGTCCCAAGTGTACAGTACCCTCGTCGGAGCGCAGATGCCAGTGTTTGACTGCGGTGTTGTGTCTGTCTTGCCTGGTCGTCACTAACATTGCCCCCCTCGTCCCTATCCTGACTAAACGCAGTGTTGCGCCCATGCCGCGACTCTTGAAGCCCTAGTTAAGCACTGTGCGAAAGTATGGGCCTGATAGGCTGAAGGGTAGCGTGATCGGAGTGGATCCTCGGGCCAGAGGGGGAAGGAGGGAAGGAAAGAGAGGAGGACGAGAGGGACAAGTGGGGGGTGGGGGGCTCTTCCTCCTCCGTTCCCCACATTTCTTCTCCTCCTCCTCCTCCTCTTCCTCCTTCTCCTCCTCCTCCTCGTCCTCCTCCTCCTCGGACGGGATCCTCGGCGCGGGTGCAGCCGCCGCCGCCGTCAGCCCAAGGCGCGCCGCGCCGTCAGCGCGCGCACGGGCTGGAGCGGCAGTAGGCCTCGCTGGGCGCTCCCCCCCCCGTCCCCAGGCTGTCCACCCTCCCGTCCGTCTCCTCGTCCACCCCTCCCTCGCCCCCAACCCCCTCTTCTGCCTCCTCCTCCCCCTCCACCCCCCTCCTCCACCTCCTGCCCCCTGATCCTCCCTCCTCCTCCTCCTCCTCCTCTCCTCCTCCTCCTCTTCTCTTCTTCTTCTGCTTCTGCTTCTGCTTCTGCTTATGCTTCTTCTGCTTCTGCTTTCTGCTTCTCTTATTCCTTCTTCCTCCTCCTCCTCCTCCTCCTCCTCCTCCTCCTCCTCCTCCTCCTCCTCCTCCTCCTCCTCCTCCCTCCCTCCCTCCCTCCCTCCCTCCCCTCCCTCCCTCCCTCCCTCCCTCCCTCCCTCCCCTCCCTCCCTCCCTCCCTCCCTCCCTCCCTCCCTCCTCCCTCCCCCCTCCTCCTCCTCCCACAACTGGTCCAGGACCTGGACTTCGCGTCAGAGCGTTTGGAATATTATGCGCTTGGTGAGTTTCTTGCAGATTTGAGGATTGTGTCAGACCCCGAAGCCGCCGAGGACTTTATAAAAATCGACGTCACGGAGCTCAGGGCCAGGGAGTTCGGGGTCAACATTCCTCCGCCTGGGGTATGTATTTCTACAGCAACTACTCAGGTGGAGGACGAGGTGGAGGACAAGGGGACGGGGGAGGAGGGCAACTACAGGTGCAAGATCGTAGACGATAACGGTAACGTATGCAATGCTGCAAGTAACGATCGCAAAGCTCTGTCAAACCACATGCGTGCACACCATTATGTACGAACCCTCCCAGCCGTCCTCACGCCATGCAATATGTGTATACACTGTAGGCAACTATTCTCAACGAGGGTGACCGCAGCTCGCCATCTTCTCGGGTCTGTTCTCAGAGGCAGTTGTTCAACGAGGGGCCCTACATCATTGACGGCATTCGCTCCTCCCCAGATTTATGATTGTCCAATGTTTGTACACAAGGCTGCCGATCTGGATTCACTTTGTAGCCATCTGTGCTCACATTTACAGTGGAAGCTACAGCCTTACCGACCAAGGCCTCCTCCCCCCGACGGCACGACTCGTGGTGCTGGGAGCCATGCCCGAGGTGGCTGGCGATGCCATCGTGGTTCAGCCCAACGCAGGCGAGGAGGCCCGAGGCAGCAGGAGGTCAGGACAAGAGGGCGAAGACCGAGGGCGGCGGCGGCAAGGGCAGCGAGGAGAACAACGGCAAGCTGTTCATGCTGGTGGCCCGGCTTCTTCTAGCCACCACGCGTGGCATGGCAGACCTGTCGGAGGCGGTGTCCATCACGTACGAGATGAGCGCGGTGCAGGGCTTCCCGGCAGCGCTCGTGGCGGCGCGCAAGCAGTACGGCGTGAAGAGCAAGGAGCTGGCGGATCGTGCGAAGGGGTGCAAGGAGCAGGCCAACAAATCGGGCGTGGAACACATCGAGGGCGAGGCCCTCCGCGCCTGCTCATCTTCGTGGCAGGGATCCACTACATCGCGACGCGTACCCACGCCGAGGGGGACCAGGCCGAGGAGGAGAGGCAGCTGAGGTCGGACGCGGAGGAGTTCTGGACCAGCACGGTGGCATCCAGCAACATCCTGATGCTCGGGGACGGTGAGTCGGGGGCGTGGGAGGGGACGAGCACCGACTAGCGAGAGCCAGCAGTAAACAATAACATGCTTACTCGAGCTGTCTCCCGTGCCGTTCGAGCCGACCCTAAGCTGAACTTGCGTGCCTCAGAGGCGTCGGCAGGCCAGTACCTCGCTCGAGGAGAGTGAGCTACAAATTCGTATTTCAGCAATTCCGTGAGGGTCGAAGTTACCCGTCCCCTTGATCCCGTGCCAAGCTGATGCCCCGTGTGACAGCTGCGGATTACATGGGCTCGTCTCGTCTCGTTTCATCCTCCTCCTCCTGGGCAATCTGGGCAATCTGAAGGTATCTGAAGCCGAACAATGCTCAACTTTCAAACAACAAGAAAAATATTAGAGTCCCCCATCCCTCCTCGCGCAGTCCTGCTGGAACTTGGCCGCGAGCTCGCCCAGCGGCGTCCTGCCAAGAGGCAGGGCTGGGCCAATCCTGCACGAGGTCTGCGGCAGGAAACCACGAAGGAGGGTCCGAAGCTCTTTGGATTTCGGATTGGGGTGACACGGCTTTGACAATGCAAGGGCCTTCAACGTTGCAAACGCGCCACAGCAAACACAAAACAGGACTGGGGTACCATGGAGGACCGTCCAGGCAACATGCAACTTGCGTTTGTTATAATCAGGGGCGGACAGGACCCTGAGGAGAGACGCATTCAACCGACCATTACCTACACTCAAACCGAGTTCTACAACTGATCCGCCGCAAACAAAACTCACATCTCCAGTGGTAACCAGCCAAATAAGGAGTGTGTGGGTCTCTCGGTCCCCGCCTACCCCTCGGGCCCACACTCCCCTTGTTGAGCTCCCCGAAGATTTCTCCTGGGGTGGGCAACTCAGCAAGGATAGAAGCCATGGGAATACAAAGTTTGTAATAGGAATAACAGTGTGAGATATTTCCTCAGCCACTAAAGGAGGAAACTCATGGAGCCTAGCACCCCCTCTAGCTAGCCAATCAGCGCACTTATTGCCTCTGATGGCTTCCAGGTCTTCGGGGCTTTCAGCTTGGTTCTCCTCTCTATGGGCCTTGGTTTTCTTAACATTGATCCAGCCTTCGGGGATGTCAACAGCAATCTTACGGAAGAAGTGAGGCGCCACCGAATTCTGGGAGAGGGCTGCTTGGGGGTTAAAGCCAGCCCTGATCAAGGCTTGGTAGTCAACAGTGAGGCTGCTGGGGAGGGCTCCTTCCGTGTGTAAGGCCCCCCACCATCAGGGCAGCATGCTCTCCTACGCCTGAACGCTGACCAAAAAGTTTAGGGACGGGGCCAAAAATAGCACGGCACAGGTTTCCTTCAGCATCTAGCTCGCACACGCCGAAATCAACTCTGGCCAACTCGCCTAGAGTTGGGCGGAAACAACTGCCATCAGAGAACAGCTTAGCATCCCGAGTGAACTCGAACCTTTCACACGGGCCTTCAGCATCTCTGTACCTGAGGTCCCAGTCAGGCGCAGGCTCAGCGACATCAAACGTTGGAAGCCACGCTCTGGTATACAGGAGGCTCTGGTCACCAGCAGCAATGGCATCTTGGAGCAACTCTGGCGTACAAGTCTCTTCTCTTTTTCCTGCGCCATGCGGGCACTCCCAACACCTGTGGAAGGTCGTGCCTGGCTTGCCGCAAAACTTACATTCAAGAGGGACAGAATAACCCCATTTCCTGAGGTTCTCAGCCGTGAGGACAGCACCCCCCATGGCCTGCTTGAGCACGCTGACAGAACGAGGCAGCAAGTTATGAGCAGAGCGCAGGAACCTCGCACTGAGCTCCCACCAGAGCCCTCGCTCCTGAAGGGCCTGAGCTTCAGCACAAGGGTGGCGCTCAACAACCTTTCTGACAGCGGCCTGAATTCGAGCATCCTTACATTGCGACACGAACCTTTGGGCAAAATAAACTGGCGAGATCAAATTCAGCTCGATATCAATACCAAGACGGTCAGTGACGACAGATGGGCTCTTGAACGCCCAGGCACCTTCCTTGACCCACGCAATAGTATCAGATATGGGCCCCTTGCTCCACTTAAACCACTGGCGCTTAGTGGCAGAGCACTGGGGCCAGCAGTCTGGGCAGCTCTAAAAAGCTTGGTGAGCGTGGACGGGCTTAGAACATCAGACTGTTGCCGTTGGAGGTCGGTTCTAGGGATGGTGGCTTGCCACCATTCAGCCGCATAGCGTCGCAACGTCATGCCTGCAACTTCTAGTGGATCCCTGGCACGAGACAAACCCCACGCTAACTCCACATCGACACCCCGAATCGAGACTCCACTAGCTGCTGCAGCTGACTGTCTGAGCCTAGTGACCTGGCATGGACTGAATGCATTGATGTCACCTCCTTAGGTGACCGCGGGGAGGGCATTCGTAGCCATAAGCCTAGCTTTATCACCAGGCATCTTAGCTGTAAATTTCTTCAGTCGGGAAACACGCTGGCACATCTTGCGCTATCTCATGGCTCGGGTTGTGTGGGCCTTGGGGTGAGCTCGGTGCTTTCCCGCACGAAACCCCTCCTCATCTTCTTCCTCCCTCTCCTCCTCCCTCTCCTCCTCTCTCTTCTACCCCCTCCTCCTCCCCGATGATGGAGTGGAGGAGGTCGAGGGAAGAACACGCTTGTGTTGCAATTTAACATGTTGGCAAGCACAGCGAGAAAAAACCGCCTGACGAAGGGCCCAACCATATGCAGTTACGAGTACCGCATTGTGGGTACGGGTTGCGGTGAAGCTCCCCATGAGGCCACGAAGCGCTGTCCTGGGTGGCGTTGACGCATGCGGCCTGTGCCACTGTAGCCTTCGGTGGAGTTCCCTATGAAGCCACGAAGCGCTGTCCTGGGCGGCGCTGACGCATGCGACCTGTGCCACTGGAGCCGTCGGTGGAGCTCCCTGTGGGGCCACGAACCGCGTGAAGGGTGCGCCGGAATGGGTGGCGTTGACGCATGCGAACCCTACCACTGAAACCTTCGGTGGAACTCCCTGGCCACGAACCGTGTGAGGGGTGTGCCGAAATGAGTGGCGTTGACGCATGCGGAACCTGCCACTGGGGCCTTCGATGGAGCTCCCTGTGGGGCGACGAACTGTGTGAGGGATGTGCCAAGATGGGTGGCGGTCCCCGCATGCGGACCCTGCCACTGGGGCCTTCGGTGGAGCTCCCTGTGGGGCCACGAGCTGTGTAAGGGTTGTGCCAAAATTGGTGGCGGTCCCCGCATGGGGACCCTGTCGCTGGAGCCCTCGGTGGAGCTCCCTATGGGGCCACGAACCGTGTGAGGGGTGAGCCTAAATGAGTGGCGTTGACGCATGCGGCCTGTGCCACTGGGGAGAGCATAAGCAAGGAGGGGGAGGAGGGGGGAGGGAGCAGCGGGGAGGGAGGAAGGGGCAGCGGGAGGCGAGGCGAGGTGAAATGAGGTGACGCGGGACGCTGTCTCTTGAAAGCGAGGACCCAACACCACGGGATGGTTGGGAAATAGGAAAGGGAAGAAAGGAGATGAGGTGAGGTGAGGTGAGGTGACGCGGGACGCTGTCTCTTGAAAACGAGGACCCAGCACCACGGGATGGTTGGGACATAGGAAGGGGAAGAGAGGACACCAGAGGGGCCAAACCCGGATCCTCCCGTGTGGCCTTGTGTGCAGTACCCCGCAGGGTGTGGCACAGCGGAGAGAGGGACGAGCACGACTGGAGAGGGGCCAAGTCGAGACAACGGCGACCCTTCATGGCGCTTCTCGTCCTCCATCGCCTCGAAGAAGCGTGTCAGGGGGTGCACCTCTGGATTGAGGAGGGAAGACCGTCCCGGCATTCCTATAGCCATACCACGAAATGTTCCTAGAACCCCAATATGTTCTAAGAACAAAAACCAGGTTCTTAGAACATGAACCCGATGTGCTAAAACAAGACAGTCTCAGCCAGAAATGTTCTGAGAACATTTCGTGGGAACCACAAAAGGACCTTAGAACTTTGTTTGGTGGGGCTATGGGCGAGCCAGGACGCTTCGCCGCTGCTTGACTGGAGGCGTCCAGCGACTGACTTCGGACGGATGTGGGCCGGGCGGGAGAGCCGCCGTCGTCATCACCGGCCCCCCTTTCTCTCGCCATCGCTCGGACGTCCATTCCCTGTGTTTTTTTCGGTTTCGTGCGTGGTTGTTTCGCAGGGTGATCCAGGATGCTCCTTAAGAATCTCCGCCGAGAAAAAACGCACACGTCCGAGCGATACCAAGTTAACTGGGGCGGGGAGCACACGACAGCCTCCCCTTTGTCGCAGGGTCCTCCGCGACGTGCACACCCCCGAATCGGCACTTCCTCCGTGGGGCCGGCTCCTCGTCCGGAGCGGCGTTTGCTGGCGGCCCCACGGGCGGGCGAAGCGGCCTCTCGCCACCGGCCGAGCAAGCTGTGCGACGTCCTGATGTGCGTATTCTGATGGATGCGGACAGAGGAGAAGCAACCTGCGCAAATACATTATGTATAAATGTGTGTAGCTTTATGTATATGAGTGCAGGTTGTTTGTCCTCGGGGTCCGCGCTGGGTTCATATCATGTACCCAGCGCGGACCCCGAGGACAAACAACCTGCACTCATATACATAAATCTACAAGTACATACATATATATATACATACATACATACATACATACATACATATGTGTATATATATATATATGTATGTGTAGGCTTATGTCTATGAATGCAGGTTGTTTGTCCTCAGGGTCCGCGCTGGGTTCATGAGATGAACCCAGCGCGGACCCCAACGAAGGGACACTTCACATTGCAGAGGCGCCGAGGCGCAGTGCATGGCGCTGCTTGGCAATGGTTGGCAGATTGCTCGGCAGAGTGCTTGGCATTTTTGTTTGGCATGTTGCGCTACTTTCCTTGGCGTTGCTTGGCATTGCTTGGCAGTGTTCGGTACTGCGTAGCACTGCGTTGCACTGCATTGCGTGGCGAGACAGAAAGGGACCAAGAACACAGTAACAAGAACCTGAGACGAATGACCACAGAACCGATGACCCAGGACCAAGGAGCCAAGGAGCCACGACCAAGGAACCAA